TGTGTGGAGGACAGTCTGGTCTTATTTAGGAACTCTGCTGCACAGCTGCAAGGGTTAACTCTGTGCCAGGGTCTGGTGTCCTTGAGGGTCTCTCTTCTGAAGATTATTTGCTCAGGCAGAAGGTGAGTTATCTATAGCCCTAAAGGAGACAAGTGGGCTCCACAAACAGTCTCTCTCAGTCTAGGGAGTGACCAGTTGATAAGGCTTGAGCAAGGCCAGGCTGCCAATTTAGGGCCAGTTAGACACTTTAAGGGATTAATGGCTTTATGGCCTCCTCTAATGAAGCTTATGTTTCTCCTGAAATTCACAGATTCTATCACTGTGCACAACAGGCATAAACTTTCATGTATGAAAGTGTTATTGAATTACATGCTTTTTTCTGTTTCTTGCTTCCTGCTTGGGCCATCTCAGCCACCACGCCTCCCCTGCGTTATGGACTCCAATCCCTCTGGAATCATAAGCCAAAAAAACTCTTCCTTCTAAAAGTTCCCTTGTGTCTTATCACAACATTAGAAAAGTAACAAATACACAGAATAACTCAGAATACAATCATATTTGGAGAGAGGATCTTTAAAGAGGGGGTTAAATGAGATTGTTTTAGTGAGTCATAATCTATGCTCCTGTATTTGACATAACAGGACTATTTAGGTGGGACTCTAATCCAATGTGACTGGTGTACTAACAAGAAGACAGCAGGGATGAGTAGTCACAGAAGGCCACTAAAGGTCATGGGAGAGGGTGGCCACCAAGGGGCAGGAAGGAAGCGTTGGGAGAAGAAAACCTATATACTACACTGTACACATTGGTATGTACCACCTTGACCTCATTATTTCTTTTCTTTCTTGTCAGATTTTCCTGTTGTTTGCATGTCTTACAACTTTTTAAATTGAAGATTTTGTGTGTGGAGGTGCTCATGTACATGTGCAAGTACATATTAAGGCTAGAAGTCAGTCAGTTGCATTTGAGACAAGGTCTCTTCACTGGCCTGGAGCTTGTGTTCAGCTACTCTGGCTGGCCAGCAAGTCCCCAGGGATAACCCCTGTCTCTGCTTCCCCAGTGCTGGGATTACATGCGGGTGGTACCATGCCTGGATTTTTGTGGGTTTTTTTGGTTTTGGGGTTTTTTTTGGTGTTTTTGAGGCAGGGTCTCTCTGTAGCCCCAGCTGGCCTGGAACTCACTATATAGACCAGTCTGGCCTCAAACTCAGAGATCTGCCTGCCTCTGCCTCCCAAATGCTGAGATTAAAGACATGTGCCACCACGCCCGGCCCATTATTATTATTATTTTCTTTAACATGGGTTTGGTGATCAAACTCAGATCCTCATGCTCACACAGTAACTACTTTGCCAACTGAACCATCTTCTACAAATCAAGTTTGAGAAACCAAATTCTGTTGCTGAAAACACCCAGCCTAGAATTTTTTGTTGTAGCAGCCCTAGCAAACTGCTATACACTCTGTCCATGACACTCAGATTTCTTGCAAAGTTTTGAAGTCAACAGAGAGCTTTGGCTGTGAAACTGAAAAGACTGTACAGCTGACAGACAACGCTACTTAGTGCTTTCCATAGAAACTGAGAAGTCTGTCGTGTAGGGTTCTGAATCTTTTTTTTTTTTTTTTTTCGGTCTTTTGTGGGACTGGGTCTCTCTGTAGCTCCAGCTGGCTTGGACTGGAACGCACTATGTAGACCAGGGTGGCCTCAAACTCAGAGATTTGCCTGCCTCTGCCTGGGATTAAAGGCATGTACCACCACGCCCAGAGGGTTCTGAATCTTTCACTTTGCAACTTGCTAATTGAAAGCCCGGCAGGCAGAAAAGAGGAATTCTATGCCCCAAGATACATATTAATTGGTTAAATAACCCAAGGAATAAACTAATTTGTGTTATTTGGATTGGCAAAGGGTAGAAACAACACCATCACTCCGGATGGGCACTTTAGTTAAGAGGAACCCACATACATGGCAGAGAGAAACACAAATTGCTGTATGGAAAGCAATGTGGCAACTTTATAAGGTTCAACCTTATAAAAGTGCTGTTTCTTTAGGTCAGCGTGGTTGAGTAACAATAGTGTAATTTGATCCAACTGATACATTAAAAGCATTCTTTAAAAAAAAACATTGTTGGGGGAAGGAGAGATGACTCAGCAGTTAAGAGCACTGGTTGCTCTTGCAGAGGACCTGGATCCCAGCACCCACATGGCAGCTAACAATGTTCTAACTCCAGGGGGATTCCGGGGGATTCGACGCTCTCTTCTGACCTATTTCTGTGCACCCATGTCGTGCACCTACCTATATGCAAGCAATATACTCAAACACATAAAAAAATAAATACAATATTTTTAAAAAGATTGTTTTATTTATGTGTGTGTGTGTGTGTGTGTGTGTGTGTGTGTGTGTGTGTATGCACTTGCAGATGGGTGCCAGCTGCCCACAGAAGCCAGGAAATGATCCTCTGGAAGAGGAGCAAGCGCTCTTAACCACTGAGCCATCTTTCTAGCCATAAAAACATATTAAGTGAAGCATGGTAGTTTACTCCAATACCAGCACTTGGGAGGCTGAAGCAGGAGGACAATCATGAGTTTGAGGCCAGCCTGGGCTACATAGGGAGTTCCTGGCTCAAAATAAAATATTTTCAAGTCAATGATGTCATGTTTGGGAATTAGCCCAGTGGAAATAAAAGCACTAGAATTTGATGGCTCTTCATGCAAGGATGCGTATCACAGCATTGTGGATAGGGTTGGAGCAAAACACAATTAGAAACAACCTCGACACTGGGGGATAAACTGTTATGTTTCCCGATTATGCACTAACAAATAATGAATTCTATTTGGACTATTTATTTGGAAGATAACCATAGCATTAAATAAGAAAAGGGGGACAAAGTATCATCTTTGGAATAACCCCAACGTTAAGAACACAGCTCAATGGCAGAGCACTAGATTAGCATGTGTAAAGCCTGGGGTTCAATCCTTAGGACCAAATAAATTCGTTGATTAAATGATATGATCCCAATTTAGTTAAAATAAGAGGAAGTCCTCTCCATGTGAAAAACTAAACACAGCAATAGTTACATTGGCGGAGGCAGGGGTAACAGAGAAGATTAAAGGGAAATTTGAAAATTCCTCAGACATCTCTGTATTCTTTCACTGTTTCCATCATATGATGGAAAGATTAGGCTAGGCTTGGTGATTCATAAATGAATACAGTGTGGGTCGCCTGGGGTTTATTTAGGGCCAGTAGAAAAGCAGAAAAGACTCACTTTGATACATGTTTATACTAATCTAAGAGAGGCAGGGCAGAAAAACAAAATGAAAGGGACTTGGGAAGGGAAATGTACCCCTCATTTCCTAGTAGCTGACAATCAGAAAATTCAACACAACTGATAAAAATCAAGGTTGCCTACAGAGATAACTCATGTTTTCCTAAACACATCTCAGACAAGAATGTTTAAAGAATGTTGTGACCTTGAGTCTTACTGTGTTAACACTCCTCTCTCATCTTTAAGCCTGAAGGTGCATTCCATGAAAGAACTTAAGAGAAAGAAGTAAACCAGCTTGTCGTTTTTTACTTAATCTTTTTTTTTGTCTTTTTGAGACAGGGTCTCCTTATAGCCCCAGCTGTCCTGGAACTCACTATGTAGACCAGGCTGGCCGTGAACTCACAGAGATCACCTGCCTCTGCCTCCCGAGTGCTGGGATTAAAGGTGTGAGCCACCATGCCTGGCTACTTAATCTTTTAATTTTTTTTTGTTTTTTGTTTTTTTTGTTTTTTTGAGACAGCATCTCCTTATAGCCCCAGCTGTCCTGGTACTCACTATGTAGACCAGGCTGGTCTCAAACTAACAAAGAACCTCCTGCCTCTGCCTCCCAAGTGCTGGGATTAAATGTGTGCGCCACCACGCCCAGCCTTTTAAAAATTTTTACTTCTTATTTTTATTTTATGTGTATGCGTATATTGCCTGCATGTGGGTAAATGCACCAGTGTTGCAATGCCTCTGCAATGCCGGCAGAGGACAGAAGAAGCTGTTGGATCCTCTGGGACTGGAGTTACAGACAGTTATTAGCTGCTATGTGGGTGCTGGGATTTGAACCCGTGTCTTCTGCAAGAACAACTAGTGTTCTTAACCACTGAGCCATCTCTCCAGCCCCCTACTTAATCTTTAGACCTAGTTATAAATTACATTCTTTGAGCAATGAACCTCAGAAAGCCACGGAATCAATAGAGTCATTGTGAAGAACCGGAAGGGAGTTTTAAGCGTTCCAGTTCAATCTAAAGCCTGTACCAGCTCTTCTACTTAGTGGCGCTTTCTACTCTATGATTCCCCCTGAAGCTCTCTCTTGCCTGTGGGGAGGAAGTGTTTTTTCCTGAGTGGAGGCCCTGGGCCTGAACTCCCCAGGCTCCTGGCAGCAGCTGATGGAAGTACTTGACTCTTAACTCATTTATTCTTCACCTTTAGATGCTGAGACTGCTTGTCTTTTCTGTTTAAGGCTTCAGGGAATGTAGCCACCTAGATCACCAGCTTCTCCTGGGACTGTGAAATGAAGGAAGGGGCAATTAGCTTAGTAACTAATGCTGCCCAGTGGCATCTTTCTTCTGCTTGCAGTATCTGGATAATTTCTTGGCTTCAAAAATATTTTTATTTATTGTTTTTATTTATGTGTATGAGTGTATTGCCTGCATGTATGTAAATGCACCTGTGTCATGCAGTGGCCGTGGAGGTCAGAGGAGAGCCTCAGATCCCCTGGAACTGGAGTTACAGACCGTTGTTAACTGCCATATGGGTGCTGGGAATCGAACCCAGGTCCTCTGCAACAGCAACAAGGGCTCTTAACTACTGAGCCATCTCTTCAGCCCCATTTCTTGTCCTTTTTAATTGCAATCTTGTGAGCATAAATTGAGTACTTTTACACACACACACACACACACACACACACACACACACACACACACACCTCAAATCCTGATGTCCCTCCCACTGGGTCCCTCAGCTAGTAGAAGCTTTCAGGCCTCTAGGTGCAGCTCCTTCCTGGAGAAGCCCCGCCCTTTCTCACTTTCACCATAAAGCCGGGTCCTGGGTGCTGAGCCGGGGATCCTAGGGGCGCCTCTCTGGAAAGGATTTCTGTGAGGCTTTCTGTGAGCTCCCGTAAGTACACATCCTGCTTTTTCTCCCTCTTCTCCTCCACCACCACCACCCCGCTTCTTCTTGCTAAGCATTCGGACGCCTCGGTGGAGCGACTGTGCTTTCTCCTCTCCGTGCCCAGTGACCCCTGGGTCCTGCACCCAGAAAGTTTGGGGGCGCAATGCCTACTTGGTCCCTGCAGGTTCTTGGAGAGATCTGAGACCTGTGCAAAGGGCAGAGCAAAGTGTGGGTGCATTCCGAGCTCGTGGCATATCTGCCTGCACCGGGGAAGGGCTGGCGTAGGAACTGGGGGGTTTGCAAAACCCGGACAAGTGTGAGGAAGGAAGAAAGGGGTGGGGACTCGCGGGTGGGCGCGACGTGGCAGGCGGGCTTGACCTGACTACTGTGCATCCCGCACCGCACCAGTTCAGTTACCAGAGGCTGCATTTTGGAAAAAGAGACGAAAATATGCGAAGCCTTAAAAATAAACAAACACAAAAAGTAAAACAGGAGTTGAGGAGTGAGGTGGCTCAGCGGGTTGAAGGTGCTTGCTAGGCAAGCCTGACGACCTGAGCTTGATTCCCCGGGACACACAGGGAGGGGAAGGAGAGAACCGATTCCTGCGCGCGCGCGCGCGCGCACACACACACACACACACACACACACACACACACACACACACGACGACGACGACGACGACGACGATAAACTGGACTCAAACTGAGCGTGGTAGAGCGTCGTCTGTGATTCCAGCATACAGAAGCAAGAGAATAGAGAGTTCGAGAACAACCTTGACTACTACTGAGTTCAAGGCCAGCTTGGGAAGTAGAGAGTAGATGGTGGTTATCAGACTAGGTGGGGTTGGGGTTATTGGTCAGAGGGCACAAAGTCGGATAGGAGTGACTACAATCAATAATAATGTATATTTCAAAACAAGTAGATTTCAGATCGTAAAAGTAATAGGTAAAGGAGGGGATGGGTGTGCTCATTAGCTGGATTTAATCACTCTACACTGCATACGTCAAAACGTACCCTATCAAGGTATGCAACAATTGTTAATTTAAAACCGTATTAATTTTTTTTTAAAGAGGAAGGACTGGAGACATAGCTCTGTTGACAGAGCGCTTGCCTAGCATGCACGAAGAAAGGCCTTGGGTTTGAACCAGTATGGCATAAAACTGGACAAAGTGGCCTGTTTGGGGAGCATTTGGCAAGTGAAGGCAGGAGGAATCCGAGTTCAAGATCACTAAGTCCAACTTGGGTACATGAGAGCTTGTCTCAAAAAAAAGTAAATAAATAAATAGGAAAGAACGTCTGGGCTTTGGATTGGTGCCCACCGCCCTCCAGGCCAGCATGTCTCCACTAGGGGACGTAATGAACCGGTCAGCTCTGAGAGCTTGTCTGTAGAATTCAGTTAGGTTCCGGTGTGATGCGGGTAGCGTGCTAGATCCTTACTTCAGAGCACAGAACAGCTTTAATTTCGCCTTGGTTTTTGCATGGAGGCAAATTTAAACCAAATCGCTTTGGAGACCAAACCAGAGAACATTAGGCGGAGCAGCGGCGCCACCCAGTGGCAGCTACGTGTTTCTGCGTCTGCCTTAGGACAGCCGGCTCCATCCTTTTTTGTTGCTCTGTAGCCCCAACTGTCGAGGAACCCGCTGTATGTGTAGACCAGGCTGGCCTCGAACTCACAGAAATCCACCTGCCTCTGTCCCCTGAGTTCTGGGACTAAAGGCATGCCTTTTGAAAAAAGATGTATGGCCTTTAGTTTTTTGCGTTGAAGGTTTTTCTGAAGATTCACTTTACAAGAATCTTGTGGGTTTACATTTTCTTTGACTTGACAAAAGTTTCTTTTAGCCTGTTCCTCATCGGTACACTGGCAATGGTTACAATGACTGTGTTGTAGGAAAGTCATGGGAATAAAATGATCAGACATATGAACTGCTTAGCACAACACCAGAGACAGTAAGTGTTACAGGACATGATGAAATGATACTGTGATTGTGCTTTCTGGCCTCAGTGCAATGGCTAGGGAGCTTAAGAATCCAGTCTTTGTGGCCTCTGAGTACAGGTTCACCATATTCTAGGTTTATCAAAATGGTGAAGACTAAGAGCTGGACCCTGAAGAAGCACTTTGAAGGCTTCCCTACTAACAGCAACTTTGAGTTGAAGACTACTGAGCTCCCACCCTTAAAAAATGGAGGTAAGTCAGAGTGTGGCAGAGGTTGTATCAGTTAGCATTTGCTGCCTAACAAACAATCCCAAAGTTTAGTGACTTCAAACAACCATTGTTTATTAGTTCACAATTCTGAGGGTTGGCAGTTTGGGCTGGGTTAAGTTGAGTGGTTCTTTGGTAGGTCTTATCTGGGCCAAATGTTTACTTTAGAATATATTGCATTCATCTGCCTGGTGATGGTATGCTTTCTGCTGGGGTGCAGGCTGCAGTTGCCCTAAGGCCTTTCTCATAGGCTACTTGGAGCTCTGTTCTTGTAGTGACCTCATGGATCCAGAGCAGCCAGAGTTGGCAAGCTCCAGTGTTCCAGTACTTTTTAAGCTTCCACTTGTATTGCCTTTGTTAATATCCCGTTGGTCAAAGCAAGTTGCCCAGATTCAAAGGGTAAATAAATATATATAGGGTAAATAAATATATTTTGCTTCTTCCTCCTCCTCCTCCCTTTTCTCCTCCTTCTCCTCCTCCTCTTCCTCCTCTTCCTCTTCTTCTTCTCCCCCTTATACCCACTAAGCAAGCACTCAACCACTGGACTACATCCTCAATCTCTAGAAGCATATTTCTTGATGGACAAGGAGGCCAGGAGGCTAGCACACAGGAGTGGGAGGTATTTGTTTACATTTTGCAGCCTTCCATAGAGAGGTTTCTGTAGGGTCCTCTGTATGAAGCCTTGATGCCTGTTGGCCCCGACTCTCATCCTGCTTCTTTGATAACTCGTATTTTATCAAAGAAGCTCGTGCTTGGGTGTTCAGTCTTTCATGACTTTGACCAGACCATGAGGAGAATGTCCCCTCTGTCCTGGTAAACCTGATGATGAGCCCTGCCGAGCAGCCCTGCACAGAGCTGACTTTCAGAGGTGTCTGTAAGGGTAGGCAAGCTAGAGAAAAGGGGATAATAAAACAGTCAAACAACATGGTAAAGTCACTGACTCAGTTTAAGTTGCAGTGGCCAAAACTTGGATTCAAAGTTCCAAAAAGCATGTACTTGGTCACTTTAACAAAATGCATCTTCTTTCATACTAATTGGGGTTGGTTATAAAATCCTTCATGAGCACTGTACCGTAGTGGGGCTGGAGAGATGGCTCAGTCGTTAAGGGCACTGGCTGCTCTTGCATAGGACTCAGGTTCAATTCCTAGCACCCACATAGCAACTAACAACCATCTATCACTCCAGTTCTGGGGAATCCAATGCCCTCTTCTGGCCTCCATGGGCATTGCATGACACAGGTGCACTTACATACATGCAGTCAACACACTCATACATAAAACAAAAACAATAAATTAAAAGACAACATCAGGGCTGGAGAAATGGCTCAGCAGTTAAGCTGTTCTTGCAGAAAACTGGGGTTTGAATCCCAGCACTCACATGGCAGCTAACAACTGTCCATAACTCCATTTCCAAGAGATTCAGCGTTCTCTTCTGTCTTCCCTGTTCATTACACAACATGGGTGGACTTACATGCAGGCAATACATGCATATACATAAAATAAAAGTAATAAACAAAATATTTAAAAAACAATAGCAGCAACAACAAAATATGGCCTTGGGTAAATTACTTTACCTGAACTTAAATACATTGGAAACAATAGTTGAAAACATCAAGTGAGTTGATCCATGAAAATCAATGCAGGTAGCATGCATATTATTATTATTACCATTATTGTTGTTGTTATTATTAACCCAACTGGGCCAACTGTGAAAGCCTTTCTTATTTTCAATGGGAAGCACAAACAAGGGCTCCAGGGGTAGCTCAGTGGTAGAGAGCTTGTTTAACATGCACAAGGCCCTGGATTCAGCCCACAGCACAGATGAGAAGGCAGCCCTGCAGCAGAAAGATTACCTGTATTTATTCCCAGTGCCCAACACATTGCAGCCATCAGATCTGGAGTCTAACTTCTTGTGGAATGCTTTATTTTGTAGAGGTCCTCCTTGAAGCCCTGTTCCTCTCTGTGGATCCTTACATGAGGTATTATTTCCCCCCTAAACCTTCTTATGTTGTGTGTTGGTCCATATTGTGAAGTATGGTAGCTCATTTTTAAAGATAGCCAACGGGGGGCTGGAGAGATGGCTCATTGATTAAAAGAACCAGCTGCCCTTGAAGAGGACCCAGATTCGGTTCCTAGTACCCACACGGTGGCTAACAACTGTCCATAGCTCCATTTCTAGGGGGATCTGATGCCCTTTTCTGACCTCCATGGGCATTGCACAACATAGGTGCATTTATATCCATGCAGGCAATGCACTCATATACATAAAATAAAAATACTAAATAAAATATCTTAAAGATAGCCAACTGATTAAAATACTACAGTCTCTCCTGTTTCTCCCTGCACTGTGTCAGTGATGAGCTCCACGGTGCTCGTCTTCTGCTGGCAGAGGTCTGCTCAGCACAGTTTGTCATTTATTTCTCACTTGTGTTGTTTCCAGAAAGGACAAAAAGAAAAACGAAGCTAGCCTCCAACTTATCAATTGCATTACTGGCAAATAGTTGAGTAGAAGTTGTTAAGACTAAAATTGGCTAGTCTTGACTTCATTCTCCTGTATTTTATTTGTTTGTTTATTTTTTTGTCTTTTTGAGACAGTGTGTCCTTGTAGCCCCTGCTAGCCTGGAACTGCTGTGGAGACCCTGCTGGCCTGGATCTCTGTGTCTGCCTCTGCCTCCAGAGTGCTGGGATTAAAGGTATACACCAACGTGCCCAGCTCACTTGTGCTTTATTATGCAATCTGTAGTTGACTCTGAGGGCAGGAAGGGAATAAATACCCTTCAATGGGCACTAATGAACTTAGCAGTTTTTTGCTTAAGTAAATAACATAGCCCATTGCCCTTTTAAATATTTTTTAATTAATTAATTAATTTTTATTTTATCTGTATGAGTGTTTTGCCTGCGTGTAAGTGCACCATGTGTGTGCAATGCCTGAGGAGACCAGAAGAGGGTACTGAATCCCTTGGACTTACCAAAGATTGTTAGCTGCCATGTGGCATGTGGCACATGCTGGGAAATGAACCTAGAACCTTTTTCTTTCTTTCTTTTTTTTTGTCAGTCTTTTGGAGATAGGGTCTCCCTCCCTGTAGCCCCAGCTAGCCTGGAACTCACTATGTAGACCAGGCTGGCTTTGAACTCACAGAGATCCACCTGCCTCTGCTGGGATTAAAGGTGTGCACCGCCATGCCCAGCCTGAACCTAGGACCTTTGCAAGAGTAGCCAGTGCTCTTAACTACTGGGCCATCTCTCCAGTCCTGAAATGTGTATATATATATATATATTTTTTTTTTCATATTTTTCATAGCTAATTAACAAAGACCCAAATCTTAGTTGAAAAATAAAGATATTAATTAGTAGCTGGAAAGGGTGGCTCATACCTTGAGATGCTGAGGAAGGAGGATCACAAGTTCAGTCTAGGTTACTTTACATAGTGAGATTCTGTTAAAGAAAACAAAATGACAATTGCCATCTTTTTGTGGGTGGTTAATGTTGGGATAACAAATACCAGCAGAGGCTGTGTTATATTTTGGAGGTCACTGACAGAAACACTCTTCCATCTGAACATGGTGGTAAGAGTCCAATGTTCATTCATAGAATGCACCTTTGGGGTTCCAAGGCAGAACCACCTCTCACTGTGTTTCCCCTGGTTCTGGCTGTGTCTGGGTATTGTTTCTGTACACATTGCCCCAATGTTGTTCCATTTGGCTTGATAGTTAAGGCAGTTTCCTCCAGATGGTGTTAAGTACTAAGAATGGAATTTTTTTTTCAGAATTGCATCGAAAAGATTGAAGGAGGGTGATAGGCTGATGGGTGAGCAGGTGGCAAGGTAATTATTTACATTTGGACCAATGCTTGGATAAGTATATCTCCTCCAGTTCCTGCTGGGCCTGTCTTCCCATTGCTCTTCCAGTTCCTTCTGCCCATGTGGCTCACTCTCTTGTATTTGAAAAAATCTTGGAAATCCTGCCCCTTCTTAACTGGGAGGGAGGAAGGATGTATTTATCAGACTTTCGTGGTTGTGACAAAGTACCTGAGAGAAAAGACTTAAAGGGAGGAACAACTCTTGTTGGCTCACAGTTTTGGTCCTTTTTGTCTGCTGATTCTGGGCTCAAGGCGAGGCCAAACATCCTGGTGGCAGGAGGCTGCGCAGTCTCACCTCATGGCAGACAGGAAGTGGAGAGAATGCCTGTTCTAGCTTTCTTCTCCTTTTTTATTCCATTTGAGCTCCCGGCCTATGAGATGGTGCTGCCCACATTCCAGGTAGGGCAAACAAACTTGTATTTATAAGATTAGTTAAAATGTCATTTACATTAGGAAAGATACTGGGGAAAAAACTATTGATAAAGGAGAAATTAAATTCAAGTTTCTGAAATTTTACAGTTTTTGAAGGATTCTCAATAGCATGGAGAAAATATATAAATTATATAAACTAATATAATGGTGAGAGAAAACTAGGCTATAAAACATTACTTCAGGGACTGGAGAGATGGCTCAGTGGTTAAGAACACTGACTGTTCTTGCAGAAGACCCAGGTTTGAATCCCAGCACCCACATGGCAGCTAACAAACTCCACTTCCAGGGGATCCAACAACCTCTTCTGTCCTCCATGGGCATTGCACAACATGGGTGCACTTACCTACATGCAGGCATAACACTCATACACATAAAATAAAAATAATAAATAAAATATTTTTAAAAATTACTTCAATTACATAAGTATAATTAATATAAATTTATACATTTAAAGTACATCTTAAGATTGCCATAAAACATACCAAAAATTTTAACTGTTATTTTTATGTTGTGGAATTATAACTGATATTTTTGTCATTTAAAAAAAGTTTCTATTTTAAAATTTTGTGCTTAAAAAAAAATTGTGGTGCTGGTGATTGAACTCGGGGCCTCATGCATGCCAGGCAGGCACTATTCTATTGAGCTAAATTGCCAGTCTGACTTTTTTTTTTTTTTTTTTGTCTTTTTTGAGACAGGGTCTCCCTGTAGCCCCAGCTGTCCTGGAACTCACTATGTAGACCAGGCCGCCTTGAACTCACAGAGATCCGCCTGCCTCTGCCTTCCAAGTGCTGGGATTAAAGGCATGTACCACCATGCCTGGCCAGTCTGATATTTTTATATTTTAAAGTTTCTAAAATAAATTCGTTTGATCTTTGGGAACCACGTAGGAGAGAATGGACTCCTGAAACTTGTCCTCTGACCTCCACACACATGCCACGGCATCTACACACCACCCACATTAGTAACAAATTTAAATAAAAGTTTTTTAAAGACGTCAAAAAAGAGTAAGTATTGGGTTCTGCAACCAGAAGATTGTTGTGATGTCAGTAGAGTAGTGAAGGTAGGCTGTGTTGCTACAGCTCATCACATGAATGGGAAGTGAGGAAGTTTGGCTGTAAAATCAAGAAGAGAGAGGGAGAAGATGAGATTATAAAATAGCAATGTTGTGCTTTCTTATTCTCAGAGAAGGGATGATAGAGAAGGAAATGGTAAAGAAGCAGGCCATAAGAGGGCTTGAGAGACAGAGAGTACCCCGAAGGAGAAGAGAGGCTGGTGTGCAAAGGATAAAGGCCCCTTGCTTCAAAATAAGAGAACTCTGTGGGGTCAGGGATGGACGCTGGACCAGTTCAGAGCTTCTTCTTTGATGGCCCCTGTCATGGCCAAGAATTAAGGAGAAATGTCCCAGGGTATCAGTCATAGAAAAACATCCTCAGTGCCCTTTTGTGAACATTAACCACACAGCATCCTGACTCCCATGAACAGGAAGAGATGTCACATGTCTTAATGCGCTTTTATCTTTCAGAGTTGTGGAAAGTAAAAACTCAGCCTTCCCAACAGGAACTATTGTGGTGGCTTTGTTAGGCTGGACATCACACTCCATCTCTGATGGCAACGGACTGAGAAAGCTGCCTGCAGAGTGGCCCAACAAGTTACCACTGTCTTTGGCTTTGGGGACAATTGGCATGCCAGGGTGAGTGTCACAGGGTATGCTTTGTTTAAATGTCTGATACCATAACTTGATCCATGAGGAGATATGTAAGGCTTTATAGGTCCAAGGACTGATTAGGGAACATGGTAGGACTAGGAAGGGAGGGAAATCAAATGGAGAGCCCATCAGTGCAAGAATAAAGAAAGTATTTAGATAATTGATAGATAGATAGATGATAGCTAGATAGATAGATGATTGATAGGTAGATAGACAGATAGATAGATAGATAGATAGATAGATAGATATTTAGAATACTCTATAGCCTTTAAAAAGAAAAGGAAGCTGACATTTGTGGTAACATTGGTGAACCTGGAAGACATTAAGTGCACAGAGAGACATGTACCACACACTTTGATCTTTTGTTAGTTTCTTGGTGCTGTGAGATTTACCTGAAAGCAACAATTTTAATGGAGGAATGGTTTATTTGGGTTCACAGTTTCAGAGGTTTCTGCCCATTGTCTGCTGACACTTGTTTTGGGCCTGGGACAAAGGTGAACATCATGATGGGAAAGGCATGGTGGGGCTTATCTTATGGTACCTGGAAAGAAGAGAAAGACAGGAAGGAGCTAGGGAGAAATCAGATCAGAGACACTCAGGTATGAAGAGAACACAGTGGTAAGAAGTAACATGTTACAAGTAACATGTAGCATGTAACATGATCCATACAAGCAGCTAGCAGACAGAACAGAACAACGTAGACCCCGGTACCAGCACTTGGGAGGCTAAGTCAGGAGGATTGCTGTGTGTTTGAAGTCAGCTTGAGCTACCTAATGAGTTTCAAACCAGTTTCAGCTAGGGCTACAGAGTGAAAGTGTATCTCAAAACAAACATAATAATAGTAGTAGTTTTTAAAGAAAAAAGAACTATAACTGTATTAAGACATCTCAAAATGAATAAATATAAAGAGTTAGCAAGGGACTAGCTCCTCCTGATACCAGAAAGCGCTCATCTTTGCTCACCACTCACCTTTGCTTTAATTCAGAGTTAGAAAGGGAAAGCATTCAGTCTCCTGTGGACTGTGTGTTCTCCTTCGTCTGAGGTACAAGGGGTTTCAAGTACAGCAATTGAAGTGACTCACAGGTGTGGTTTTACAGGCAGTTGGGAACAGATTTCAAATACTCAGACCCCTCAGAGTCTGCTCTACACGTTCCTGACTGAACTGTGACCTCAGTTCCCCCCAAACTTCCCCACCTTGGAAATAATTTTTCTCTATGTTGTATGATTTGTTTTCTTTTTTTTCCTTTCTTTAAAAAAATATTTTATTTGGAACTGGAGAGATGGTTCAGCTGTAAGAGCACTACTGTTCTTGCAGAAGACCCAGGTTTGAATCCCAGCTCTACATGGCAGCCAACAACCATCCATAACTCCAGATCCAGATCTGATGCCCTCTTCTGTCCTCTGCAAGCACTACACAACACAGGTGCACTTACACACATGCAGGCATAATGCTCATACACATAAAATAAAAATAAAAACTTAAATATTTTATTTAATACTGTGCATTGCCTGCATATATGTAAGTACACCTATGTTGTGTAGTGCCCGAGGAAGTGAAGGGTATAATGACACAATCAGAAAATGTGAATCAGGGATAGACCATTTGCCTAGCATGTAGGAGGGGGTTAGGCTAACTCACCCAGAAAACACTGGTGCCCATATTCCTCAGGCAACCCTTCTCCATTATTAGCATTCCCAAGAATTACAGAGTCTTATTAAAATAATAAATATTGCAGGTAATTCTGCAGTGAGAGACCTTGCCTCAAGATCTATAATGGAGATGTATAAATAAAATTATATATATATATATGAGCGTGCATGTGCGAGAGAGAGAGAGAGAGAGAGAGAGAGACAGAGAGAGAGAGAGAGACAGAGAGAGAGAGCACATATTTACACATCCTTATGTTCTTCCTTTAGCCTAACTGCCTACTTTGGCCTGCTTGAAATCTGTGGCGTGAAGGGCGGAGAAACAGTGATAGTTAACGCAGCAGCAGGAGCCGTGGGCTCTGTTGTGGGGCAGATAGCTAAGCTCAAGGTAAATGTCTTCTTCTAATGACCCCTATTCAGGACCCACAGTGTACACTGGGTATGCAGCAGTGAACACAGAGAACACTTTCTTGCCTCAAGGAACTTAAAATGTACTTACTGGATCTTGTTTAGAAGTTAGAGGTTGAGAAAGAGGGAAATTGAGAAACTAGAGCTGCAAAGGTGGCTGAACTCTTTCTCTCTGGGCTGCCATGACTTGAGTAGCTTTCCTGCACTGCACTTTTACTGTGATGTTACACAATAGACAGTTCAGAAGCACGGAGCTAAGTGACTGTATTAAAACACCTGAAACAGCCAAAATAAATGTCCTTCTTTGAGTTGTTTTCTCAGATATTTTGTCCTAGTGATGAAAAGGGGACTGACAGAAGGGGTGTTTGTGAGTCACTTGACCATGCAAAATCCACCCCATGCTCCTAGTTTGTTAATAATCTGCACTCTCCCCACTTAGGGCTGCAAAGTTGTTGGTGCTGCGGGGTCTGATGAAAAGGTTGCCCATCTTAAAAAGCTTGGCTTTGATGTTGCCTTTAACTACAAAACAGTAGAATCTTTGGAAGAAACTTTGAAAAAAGCCTCTCCTGATGGTTATGATTGCTATTTTGATAATGTAAGTACAAACTGAACTTATCTGATTTATCAATAAAGTATCACATAAAGGAATCTATCTCTAAAGTTTCCGTCTAGAATACATGAAAAAAGTATGTGTACCTAGTATTAATGTACAGTGTACAAACCATATCCTTCATTTATCGAACTGCAGAGCTAGCCATAGTGACTATACCTATTACCCCAGCACTCTGAAATTTGAGGCTGTTGTGGGCTACACAGTGAGACCATGTCTTTGAAACAAAATCCCAAATAGACAAATAAACTTTTTTTTTTTTTTTGTCTTTTTGAGACAGGGTCTCCCTGTAGCCCCAGCTGACCTGGAACTCACTATGTATTCACAGAGATCCACCTGCCTCTGCCTCCTGAGTGCTGGGATTAAAGGTGTGTGCCACCATGCCCAGCCCATAAAATAAACTTTTAGACTGAGGATGTAACGCAGTAACAGAGCTGTTCCCTAGCGTGTGCAAAGCCCTGCATTCAACTCCCCAGCACTGCAAAGGAAAAGAAGTTAGAGTGTAGAATTCAATCATTTTTAGTACATCTGACACATTATAGAATTATGAATACAGTTTATAATAGATTCATCATCCCAAAAGAAACAGTAATCAGCAGTCATCCTTCATGTTCCCTCTCAAAATGTGACTTTCCCTCTCTTCTGTGACTGTCTTCTTTCACTTAGCAAAATGATTTTGAGGTATAGCCATGCTGTAGCATATATCAGTATTTCATTCCTTTTTATGGCTGAATAATATTCCATTGTATGGATATACCACATTTTTTAAATCCATTCACACAGTTGATGGGCATCTGAGTTCTTTATACTTTTTGACCACTGTATAATGCTGCTATGAACATTCAGGTACAAAGGTTTGTTTGGCTTTTGTTTTCCTTTCTCTTGGGTATTCACCTCCAAGTAGAATTGCTCGATTATATGATAACTTCATGTTTGAGGACTTGCCAAACTATTTTTGAAAAGTAACTGCACTGTCCTACATTCCTACCAGTTTCTAAGGGATGGAATTTCTCAATGACCTTACCAACACCTATAATTTATTGATTTTCTTATGGTCATCTTCAAGTGGTATTTCAGTGTGGTTTTGATTTTCATTTCCCTATGACTAAATATACTGGAGAGCTTTTCCTGTTCATTTGCATATCATCTTTAAGGAAACTTGCAAATTCTTTGCTTAGTTTTCAGCTGGGTTGAGTTCTTTACATATGTGGGTGCAAGTTCCTCACCAGATGCAGTTTATTTTCATTACTTGCAGTAATGTTCTGTAAAGTCAGCATGTACAGAACTGTGGCTTCCAGGAGAAATATATACACACAAACAGTTTTGTTGATTCTCCTAAATGTAGTTTTTGGATTAGTTGAAGTATTTGTTTCTGCTCTCCATTTAGGTAGGTGGAGAATTTTCAAATACTGTTATATCCCAGATGAAGACATTTGGAAGAATTGCGATCTGTGGGGCCATCTCTCAGTACAACCGCACTGGTCCATATCCCCAAGGTAATAAGCTCATCCTGATGTGGGAGGACTGTACAAAAGGAAGATTCATAGACACGGGGAAGGGAAGAGCCAGCTGGCCTATCGTTCACAGGTGGGGGCAGTACTTTCTTAGAGCAGCAAGATGTGTTTCCCACCCTCCCCCACACTCTGATTGGCCTCTTTTTACTCCTCCTGTGCCCCAGCATACTCTCTGTCTTTCCCTTCTCCACTCCCTTTCACCCCTCCCTCCCCTTCATACTCCCAAAGGGCCCAAAATATTATCAACAGAGAGCCCTATATTCCTTCCTTCTGGTCCATAAGAGATCTTGGACAATCCTACATTTTTAAAACGAAAAAAAAAATATTATTTTTCGTGTATAAGTGTATTGCTGCTGGGTGTGGTAGCACACACCTTTAATCCCAGCACTCAGGAGGCAGAGGCAGGTGGAGCTCTGTGAGTTCAAGGCCAGCCTAATCTACATAGTTGAGTTCCAGGCCAACTGGGGCTCCAATGAGACCCTGTCTCAAAAAGATTAAAAAAAAAAAAAAAAGCGTATTGCCTACATGTGTGTGTAAGTGCCCCCATGTTGTGCAATGCCCGCTTAGGTCAGAAGAGGGTGTCAGAGCCCCTGGAACTGGAGTTATGGATGGTCAGCCACCATGTAGGTGCTAGGAATTGAACCTGCAAGAGCAGTCAATGTTCTTAATCACTGAGCCATCTCTTCAGCCCTTTTATGGATGAGAAGATGAATGACTGAGACAGCCAGGGACTCCTTAAATCCTTTTAGGACCAGACTCAAACAAAGCCCTGTGCTCTGAACTCCTCATATAGAATCTTTTTCTGCTATGACTTTGTGCTGTTCTAAACATGGAATTTTTGTCTTGCTTCTGAGCCCCAGAAATTCTAACACACTCCACTACCAGCATAGCTCAGAGAGAAGACAGTATTTCCTCTAGTTTACTGCCACATTGGCTTTGTTGCACTCAAAAAAGAAATCAACATTAGTATCAGGATGGAAGGCTCAGCAACAGTATTCTACCTTTTTCCAAG